TCTGGCAAAGTTTGCTGGCACTCGACACCGATATAAGTATCCCTTTATCGGTCGTTAAGCGAACTGAAAGTTACCCGCACCCTGAGTTTCGCTTAGGGAAAATCAGCGAAGATCCTGGTAAAAGTGATGGGCGTCTGTACACGTGGCGAGAATTAACAAGTTGACGTAACCCATCGTCCACAACTGTGTAGAGCAAGCTTTCTTTCAAAAGATTTGACAATGAAGGAAATCGCTATTATTTAAGTGCTTCCGAATAGAAATTTCAATACAGAAAGTACTATTCAGCAAAATTTGGTACTCTGTTCAATGCATTCTAGCACCTGTTGTATCTTTAACACGTTCAGTTAAGTTCCCAGTTTTAAGACCTCGATAAAATTTTCGATTTTCAGTTATATGCTCGAGGTGAACCTCAGGTGCCCACTGTTATTTTATTTCTACTGTTTCCAATCCAAATAGCAGTCTTCTAATCTTCAAACACCGTTCGGGTTATATTTTATAAATACTAAATAAAATATTGTATTTTTGTGAAATCTACCAAATTTTATTAAAGATTCTCAAAGAATACTATTTGGCTTGAATAATGCAATAATTCATAACGAGTACATTAGACAAGGTTTCATAATTAAATACTTTAGGATATGAAATAATTTTCAAGATCGACCCCCCATTATTTTGTCTGAATAAAAAAACCAAATGTCTCGATTGTAAACTGTACTCTACAGTAGTTTATCTTTCGCATCTTTCAATGTAAACCCGCACGCACGCGAGCGTTAATGGATGGCGCGTACATAAAGACGTTAAAATCCCTTTGAGGCAAATACACTCTCGTCGAAACTCTCGGCTTCCTGCTGAGTGTCCGCTCGACACATCGTGTACTCATCGCAGAATCGTGCCGCGTACAAACGTCTTACCCTATGGCACGTCATTCGGTTTACAGCAATTTCCTCTATGAAGTTTCGTAAGGATCGGAATAGCTCCGAAATGTTTGCGCAACAAATCAGAAGTCGGCGAGCGTGTCCTGCGCTAGACTGTCGTACAAACTGTGAGCAAAGTTAACCGAAACTCCTACTCTCTCGTAAGATTTTCCTGCTCGATCTACGAAACCCATCGAGCGTCGTCGCTCGTATATACCTTCGCATCGCGACGACGAAGCCACGGCAAGGAAATTGGATTTTCTTAATATTGCACCGCGACCAGAGGCGCGGCCAGAATTTATGTCGAAGATAGTCCCCGGCACCGGTGATATATCGAATTTTCCATGAGAACCTAGTAAACCGTCCATGATACAGCCTAGGAATAGAAGGGCGTATTACCCCCGAAGAATATTGCCAGTTATACGGTTCGATAATGCGAACGAGCTACTTCGAGGCAAGTTTTCTTTCACGACCTAATGTTTTATGCGTCTGTCAGAAATACTTTTGACTCCCCTGGGAATTATGGCGTACCCGGGGTCGAACGATATTCCTCGTCGTCTCCGAAACCGCGCGAGGCTTGCGGTTATTTTTACGAACCATCGTGGCCCGGATATTAAGCAAAGACGAAGTCGAATTCTACTACGACTATGTAGCCGAAAGTGAACCGAAGTGAAATGTTTGAACGTTGATGAAATTTCGGATCAACTGTAGACCATGAAATTCTTGGCAAGACAAAATTGTATAAGTTAAGATGAGAAATGATTTTAAACTGTTGTTTAACAATGATGAAAGATAAATAATTTGAAATAAGAATCAATTTTCTTCCTCGCGAAACGAACATCGTTCGAAGCAAGATCATCAAGTATCAAACGAAAAGGCACACTCCAGCACGAAGGTAAATTGCGAAATATACGAGTGTCAATTAAGGGTGAAGGTTGTCGGTCGAACGCGCGTGCGGTCAAACTGCAGGCAAGTGCATGCGTGGAGAAAACGAGGAGGACAGAGGAGGAAGGTTGGGGATGGAAGGGTGTCGCACGATGCAGGTGCAGACCCGGCGGCAACTTGTACGAACTTATTACCACCCACCTGGTGAGAGCCAGCAGTTGCAACCCCTCGTCCTATGCGCACACGCGCGTGCAGTTACAGTTGCACAGTTACACCCGTGTAACTTTGTGACGTTACACCACAAACACGCCAGAGGGTGCGAGCCTCGTTACAAGCATTATACCTAACCGCTCCGTCTCGTTACGACAAGATGTGCTTCTGGTTTTCCCTGCACGCGTGCACACGGTCTGCGGGTTAATTCGTGCGAGGAAGTTTCGAGGGCGAGTTGTATACCGGGCCGAAACATCGCCAGAGGAAGGGACTAGGCTGAGTTGCGTTAGCGTGGCACTAAGGTAAATGCAATCGATCTTCCTCACGCAAGAGGGATTAACAAATTCTGTTGTTCGACCGGCTTAATTCGCGCTACTCTGTATATGTAATTAATATACGCGCATATGTAACCATATATTCCCTTGGAAATCTGGGAACACGTATCCGTGTTTAACCCACCTGGATTAGAAAAAAAAAACATTTCCCTATGTTTGCTTATTGAAACGAATAAAGAGCACAAATATTCGTTGGAAAATGCACATCTTCCCTCTTCTTCGCGAGCATCCCCTTTCTGCATCCCTCCACTTTCGAAACCATCCATTCCCTTCCTCCTACGCTACGGCTCCGGTATTTTCCGCGCCCCTGTCCGTGAGCGGTGTCTACTTTCGGAGGCGAAAATAATTAAAATGGAAGGTAGGTTGAGCATTTCCGCGACGCAGCGCAAAATATCGACGAGATTACATTGCGCCGGCTGTAATGCGGATGCAAATGCGATGGTAAAATATTCCGAGTGTGCAAATTAAAATGACACTGAAATATATACGTGTGTACCGGTTACGGGGCTACGGTTCGCTCTCGCACGGTATAAATTGTTTACGTTGCAGCCAGTTTGCGATATTATACGAAAAGCGTCGAGGGGTACACCGGCGCAGGTTCGATGCATCCACGATGCCTCACACGGACACAAACAATGTTCACTTTGTGCAAGGTTTATATCGGTGAACGTGCATCGTTCTCTGCACGGCCTACTCTCGAACGCATCGTAACCGACACGATGCACCGCTAGAAATAGCTATGGGGATGCCACGAGCGATCGGTTTGCACGGGTAGCACGAGAAAATTCGTCGAAAATTCGCGATATTTATTCACATAATTTGCATGTAATTATTCCGTACGGTGAGCGTTGGTCGCTCAACCCGGGGGCGCAATCGCTCAACGTGCAAATAAATACGAGCGAATTCCTTTGAAGGGAGATTACTCGCGGCGATCCCGGTGTATTCGTTAAAAAATATTTTTCCACCGTAACGTTTTTGTTCGTTACATGCTTGCCGCGGGTCGAGAAAAAAAAAGAAATTTCTCCTGAAACACGACAGCCCACCGGGGGTGGAGAAATTTTCGAGCGGTATAAAGGTGTATGAAATAAATCAAAAAAAGGATGCACTTTTCATCCGCGGATTCTATTATGCAGTTCACGGTACGGCAAGTACGCCATGCGGTGTATCTCAAATTGCTTTATGGTTCATCTGTTAGAAACACCGAATAAAGCGTTGAAATAATAAATGCGAAAGCACCGCGTGTACAACGCGTACGATGAAACGCGTGCTGGTAATCTTTCTTATATATATTTATCTTAATTCGGGGCTAGAGGTGTACAGAAGTTCCCATAATTTTTAGAACAATTTTCTTTGTTACTATTTTATAGGTAATAAAATGTTTTGTAAGGAATTTGTACAACTGCATGATCAAGAAAAGTTAAATTAGATTGACCCAATAACTTTTGTGATAATTGGGCAAAAATCATGTAAGTAAATTACTAACAATTGAAGGACCTTAATTTATACTACAATCAGTTTCAACTGACTCGTTCATCTTTTATATTTTACGTTAATAGAATATAAATGAGTTATAAATATATTGGTGAAATAAACACCATATCTAAAATTAACAAAATCATTCCCGCTGTTAAAATGCACAGTCGTAATTAAATTTATACCAAGGAGTTGCACGCTGAATTTAACAGCGCTTTTTAACCTGCTGTTGCGTATAATGGATTTTAAAAGAAAATGCAGAGTAGCGTAATAATTTCGTTACTGAAAAATGCTCTGTTCAGAATCTGTTTCATACCCAACATGTTGCGCATTTGCACATACATATATGTATGTACGCGTGAAAAAATTAAAATATACTGTGGCGAAATATGAAGAATGGAAGTAACGAAATTACTTACTGTACCAAACGAATGATTTAAGAAATACTTTTTTGTTTGAAAAACTAGAATTCGCGTATTTTTATAATACATCATTCAGAATATATGACATAACCATAACCTCACAATAGCATTATTACGTATTTCGTTTGAACATTTACATATAATTATATCCTAAATTATTAAATTATTAAAAAGTATTAGGGTACAATATTAAATAACTCACCATCAGAAGATTATGAAATATTTAAACAGAAGAGCAAGTTCGTCAGTGTTGATAATTCACAATAAACAACAAGATAGAATAGGACGCGCACTAATACATACTCCAAACATTACGGTGCCTGCCATACATATATGTATGTATGACGCCTGAAAAAATTAAAATATACAGCGGTGAAATATGGAGAATGGAAGTAATGAGATTACCAACTGTACCAATCAAATCATTTAAAGAATACTTTTTAAATCGTTTGAAAAAATAGAATTCGCGTATTTTTGTACTACATCATTCAGAATATGTGACATAACCATAACCTCACAATAGTATTATTACGTATTTCGTTTGAACATTTACATATCATTATATCCTGAATTATTAAAAAGTATTAGGGTACAATATTAAATAACTCACCATCAGAAGATTGTGAAATATTTAAGCAGAGGAGCAAGTTCGTCAGTCTTCATAACTCACAATAAACGACAGGACTAAGGATAAGACGCGCACTAATACATACTGTAAACATTACTGTGCCTGCCTCTCCCCGCCCCGAGCAGTTGTGTGTCGTCATTCGGATCGGACGGGCAGTGGAGTTAAGTACATAGTTTCGACGCGTCAAAGTAAAAATACAAAATTGTGTTGTTTTTGGTGCTGATGCGAGACAAGAATCGCTTCTGCAATGAGGTAAGAGTTTTTAGTTTCCATTGATCGTTCAGTTTCTTCGTTTTGCGCAAGATTCTGATTGTTTAATAAGGTTTATAAAGTTTGTAAACAGAACGCCATTCTGAACACCGACTCTGATCGGACGGACGACAGTGGCGTTGCGTCGAAGTGAAAATACGAAATTGTGTTGTTTTTGGTGCTGATACGAGACAAGAATCACTTCTGCAATAAGGTAAGTGCTTTTAGTTTCCATTGATCGTTCACGTTCTTCGTTTTGCGCGAGATTCTGATTGTTTAATAAGGTTTATAAAGTTCGTAAACAACAACATTCTGAGCACCAGCTCGGTTCGGTGTCGCTCGGCAATATTCGGTTTTTGTCGTTTTTTCGCATGGCGGAAACGAACGTATTTACTTTTATTAGTTATTTCATCAGATATTTATTTCATCAGATTATGTTATAATTACTTCTTAAAAGGTTTATATGAAACATGTAGAGACTGTAGTAAGTATACAATTACACATACATTTCTTTCTTATCTACTTTCTGAGTTGGTTTTTCTGAAAAATTTAAACTATTTCTTTAGCAGATGCACATTGAGCATTTATTCAATAGAGCTGATTTATTTAAAAGTAGGTTTGACAAGACAAGAAAATGCAAATGCATCTTTTTTAACACTTGGTTTATTAATTTTGTTCAAGAATTTTATTTATCTATAATGCGTATCATTAATTAACTATCTATATTAGTTCGACACTAGTTTATGTAGATGTATAATATCTCGTGTTTACGCAGTTATTTTTCACTCTTTACTTTTTTCTTCCATGTAGTAGTCAAATTCGTAATGCTTCGTGCCTTGAAAGACCATTGAATAGTAATGACTCGCGAGATTAATTTAGTAGTGTGTTAATCTATGAAAATGCGGTAGCTTCATGTCAAAAAAACATCAGAAAGTGTAAAGCACTGCAAACGTAAAGTTAGGGATGTTGTTTTAAATACATTCATTTTTCGTATATGTAAATATGGAGGTTTAATAATTGAGACGTCTCTGAAGACAAATTAGTCCATTAAAAAATATATAATTACATTTAATTACAAATTTTTTAACCGCTACATACAATTACATAAACGTAATATTGTTGAGAAATTTGCTATATACGAGATAAGTAGTTAGTGATAAATAGAAAATTGGAAATTTAAAATTTGGAAGAGTCTCGGTATGCTTTACAGTAAATGTTTATTACCACTGTTAATCTCTCATAATAGTTATAAATAATATTTTTTTCTTGCATTGAATAAGAAAGGGTTAAATATCTCAGCCCACATACAAGCGTATAATGTACACGATATAACATTACGTGTCCACCTAATAAAGTAAGTCGATTCACCAAGAATGGGGGTTAATTTTTATCATAGTCGAACGTCCCGGCAATGAGAAAGTAATTTAACGAGTGACGATATTCCATGCGGTGCTCCGCCAGTTTCTCCTTCTTTTTCTTTCCTTCTTCTTCGGCCTTCTGCCTTTTCTCCGGCTCGCGGTCTAGTGTTCGGGAAAATACCGAAGGAAAAAGGAAACCGAAAGAGAATCCCCTCTAACTATATAACGTGGAACGGGGGGAGACGCAATAATTTCACGGGCTGATCGTCGCAGAATCGTAGTTCGCGGGAAAGGGATGATTGGAAGTATAATTGAACCACCGTCTCGCGATTAATATCCAACGGAGTGAGGGGCCAGCCGTTCGCCGCGCTCAGGACATTTTTCATTAAAGCCCATCGCCGTTGAATTCGTTTAACTTGGAGCATTTCTTCGGCTATAGATACACTTAATCCCTTGGATTTCCCTGCTGCTGGATTTTATATCTCCACCGTACTTGTAATTGCGATAATTCGACGACTGCCGGCGTGGCTCGTTCATCCTGCTTCTCGTGAAATCTGAACTTTCAACGTTATTTAATTCCTCCTCTCTAAGCTTCTGAATACCTATTATTGTTTGTCTGCAGTCAAAGCATATTTAACAATTCAATTTAAGTACATTTCCTTACAAAGCTAACAAGAATGAATAAAAAGAAGTAAAATTACTTCAAAATAATTATTAAGAAAGAATCAAATTAAAAAGAAGTTGTTCGATTCAATTAATAGCTTCCATTTGCACCTTGTCACTGAAAGTCATTCACCATTCGCTGGTTGACCATTGCAATCTTGTTTCGCCAGACGATTGTACACGTTGCGCACATCCATTTATACGGTTGGTACTCGTACTTGGCACCAGTCACGGTTGATGAGCTTTCAGTGATGGAGGGAAACGGCCATTAGTCATCGTTACACGTCACCTTGCCTCGCCGCACATAGCCGGAAGTACGTCAAGGATGCTCGTGGCTAGACCCATTTCGGTCAACACCTTGTACAAAGACGTGTTCCACGGTTATGAATAACTGACGACACTTTTCCCTTGAATCCACCAAGGAAGAAAAGAGATCAGTTTGCCGGTACGAGTCAGTCTCTGGCACGGATTTGCGCGACGGCCAACAAAGTACCAGCCAGAGAGACCGTGGTTCTGTGTAAACTGAAAACGTGGGTACACATACTCGAGGGGGCCATTACTGGCCCAGAAACTCCGCAAGGGTAACACGTTTCAATAACGTATGTACGATACATTGGCGAGGATAACGAGAGTTTCGCATTACTTATCCTTCTGATTTATTATTGCTTCAACAATAATGGGTTGGAGTTGTTTTCAGATAGCACGAAAAGTAAACAGTTGTAGAATATTTTTATCTGAATATTGAAGATATTCAAGATAAAATATTTTTATTAAATTTCTCCTCCTTCCTTTGTAAGGAATAAAGAACCTTATATTTAAAAATTGCATTAGCAATTAATACATTAAACTTTACCATTTTTTGTGTTAATTATTAATTATTATTCTTTAATATGGACTATTGTTTTGTTTGCATAGTTTTGATTAAAGGAACATGAATGATCACAACTGTGTCAACATTTTTGACATTTCCTTCACGGTGTACACGAACAATTTGCTAATAATAATAGTCAATTTATTGGTTTGTTATGTGAATAAATACGTGGAACGATCAGAGACGAGGTTTGCTAACTATATTTCGGCTGAAGGTAAACATATTCGAGTCCTCTTATTTGAACAGTTCTGTACGTGTACACGATATCGATCCCTTTACGTGGCCGATTGTAACACCGAGAGGCTCCGTAGACTTCGGCTAAAATCCTTTAATTAAATACGAACAGTTTTTAATTGGCGATCGGCAAACACCGAGTGTTATTAATTTCGAAACTTCGTCCCACTTACCTCGCAAAATTCTGTTAGCTATTTACATACCATTCGTCAGACTCACAATGGTTGCAGTTTGTTTGCACAACAGCGCAAGTATACTTTCAAACAATAGGAGATTTTTTTTTCAAATTTTAAATGGAAGGAGAAACGAATCGCGTTTCATTCGAAGGTAATTTAAACTACATACTCTCATATGAAATTTAAGAACAATTATAGGCATCAGTTTAATTGGGAAAATGGAAACAATGCCAAATTTTTTTACAAAATGAAATATAAGGAAAATGGGTTTCAATTTATTTAACTTTGTAATTGGATCTGCGAAGATTAAAACGTCATAGGGGTTGTTGGCGACAGGCACTAAAAATTAAAATATTGATTTATCAAATAAAATTTAAAAAAATTCTAAATAGCATTAAAATGATCTATTTTAATCCCGTGAGGTACCAAGTGAGAAGTTTTAATTTAAAAATAAAATAATTAAAATTATATCGCGACGAATAGATTGAACAGTGTTTTCTAACACGTAAGACCAAAGAAGAGTAGAAGAACTTGCCTTTGAATCAAAAAAGTCATTTAGCACGTAGCCAGCGGGGTGCAACTATCGAGGAGTTTAGCGATACGTGATCGTAGTTATCGCTAATTCCTTGGGGTGCTATTACCGAAAGCAATGGATAGAGCATTAGGCGGACCAACGGACTTTCGATGCGGCACATGGCGTAACCATTCACCATCCCAACCCTTCGTCGTCTTTTCACATTCGAAGGGACTACGACGACGACGACGACGACGACACGGGCCGGATCTCGTTGACGACGGTAACGACAGCAACGTGACTTCGGTAGACACGGGGAGGAAAAGAGAGTCTCGGTTCTTTCAATGGTTTTCACACCATCGACTCGAGCTTGTAGTCGTGAAACCTTCTGAATGTTCAAAGGGCTTGTTCGACCCGGCCGAATATAACCTCGAAAGAAACGTGGACGTAGCCGTGGCAAGTTTTCAACGGCTGCTATTCGAACAGGTATTTTCAACGAATGAATGATAAAAAGTATTACGTGACTGAATATTTTCCTTCGTTGGAACTGTGACAGGAAGTTCTACGGGCAATTGGATTTCAAATGTATTTCAATAGTTTTCTTAACGCAGATATTTCTATCTTTCTATTACAAGTTTAGCATGTCGAGTGCAAAGACTATGGGCGAAGAAGACAAATTAAATTAAATTAAATTAAATTAAATCAATGGAACGAAGAATAAGATCTTCAATTGTTCAATTATGATCACATGGAAAATTGAATGAAAATTTTAAAAATAGTTAAATATGAAATGACAGAGATTGAAACATAGAAAAATAGAAACAAAAGATCTGTAAAAAAAAAATAGTATTTAGAGCTCATCAATTTGAAGCTTAATATATTTTGATTTTCCATATAAATAACATAAAAAGTAATTGAAATCGGTAAATGAAGAAACGACGATTAAAGACACTACAGAGAATACAAATACAGTAGAAGATAGTTTTGCTGCGGAGGGTACATGTTTGCCAATTTACCGTGTGGAGGAACAACCGAGGAAATCTGCACGCCCGGAGAGTTTCTTAATACTAATCGCGCTAATCTGTGAATTAACGAAGGAGAACCGATTACACGATTTGCACGTTCTCTCAATTTAAGTACTCTGAACTTTTAATTGTGTGCACTCCGAAGATTCTCATTTGCCCTCGTCCTCGTTGCTAATGTTGAAATTCTACCAGATGGAATTGTCGCCCTTCGCGACACTGGAGAATATTCCAGGAATGTTGGAATCTGTTCCCGGTGGTTCATCAAAGAATTCTTTTAACATAATAATCATTTCCCATCAAGCTTCCGAGAAAACTTAATGTTAAAATAACGTTAAATCCTTACTTCCAACCAATTTTTTAAACATCTTCCCAT